ACGTCGATCGGGTTACAAATACTGCGCTGTCTAGCAAACTCATGCATCTTGTCTTTGTGATCTTTAACGAAAAGGTTGATGTAGTCAGGTCCATATCTCCTCTTTCGTGTAATTACTTGCTTCCCCTTTAGTTTATCCAAGAACTTAGCCTGACCATCATAACATTCCCACCTACATTTCCTAGTGCTCTGTTCAAACGATAAATTATATCATATATGTCTTAGCAAAAGAAACAAAATACAATTTCATGGTTACCACAAAAATAACCAAACTTATCATAGTCAATCATATGGCCGCAATAATGGCCTATTCCAAGCTCCGAAAGGACTAGACCGTAGTTAAATTTAACACCATATTCGCACTTGACAGGCGGTGCTTTGTAAATTAACCTTTCTTTCTTCTTTTGCTTTGCTTTTGGAGGTTCTTCAGGCCATTTGTTCTTAGGACCATACAACCATTCCTTAAAACGACACTTCGCCATTGAATACACCTAAATAACGTGACATTAGTACATGAACATATATAGCTCAACATTTCAACACATACACTTTGCACTTACTTCATACTTGTTTGGACACACAAACTTCAACGTATTCTCAGGGTTTATCACGGCTTGATCTCCGCAATCGCACAGAGGAGATTCCTCAAGTCGTCTAACTGCGGCTAAGTGCTTCTTAGCCGTCATTGGAGGGGGTTAGGGGGAGGTGGAACCTACCGCTCGAAGTGCTCCCGTGGATGTCGCCCTCTCCACCAATCGTCGAAAAGGAGGTACATGGGGTCAAACTTGTCTGCACCATCGATCCACTGAAAGAAAAAGCACCTCTCATGGTCCTAAACAACAAAAATTCAATAAAATATTAGTAACCTAGTAATACAAATAAAAAGAAAAATATACGGAAACAATTACTTACATTAAAACGACTGCACGTGTAAAAGCAATGAGCCACTGTGTTCGGATGTCTCGATTGAAATACGTCGGTCGGACGACCACAATCACAGTTAGGGACAGGGAGTTCAGGAGGGACGGGGCATCTTTGCTAGACTCGTCGGGGTACAATTCTCTAGGACGACCCTGTTTTCGTCATAACTGCTCCCGAAACATGTCTTCCATCTAATAAAACGGTTCAAATTAAACATCAATCAAAACAACACAAATTAATGTAAAATATAGTAATTTGCAATGCAACTAAAATAATATAACCAAAAATTATAGCAACAAAAAATAAAACATACTTCTAACTAAATAATTAACCTTAACATTGACAAAATCAAACTAATATCTTTCTTTAAACCGTAGACCATAGTTCCCAAACATAATTTTCCTCCTAACCTTAACTCTCATTCATAATATCCTATCTACCATTCAAACGAAAATAAAATGTGCGTCATTATCTTGAACAAGGACGAGGAGGAAGGCGGCCGGGGAATGGAAGGGAAGGGAGGGAGGCGGCAATGGACGACATCGGCGGGGCGGTGGACGGGCCAGGGCGCCGCGGCGGGGCGTGTGCTCGGCGGCGGCAAGGCGCCGGCGACGCGACGCAGCGGCCCCTCTTCTGCTGCTTTCTTTCGCAAAGGCGGCTGCTCGACCACTGGCGGACGCGAGACGCGGCGGGGGTTTTATTCGACCCTGCCGCGCCACGAATCAGGGCGTGGCTCTGCCGCGCCAAGATCAGTGGCGCGGCAGGCCCTCCCCAGTCAGCGGTTCCGGTCGTCGCCACGTCAGACCTCTGCCGCGTCACCATGCATGGCGCAGCACAGGCATTTGGCCGCACCAGGGCAATAGGCGCGGCCAAAAGTGTTAGTTTTTAAAAAAAAACCACCGTGTTAGATTTAAAATTAATTTCGAAAAAGTGTTAAAATTAAAAAAAATCCAAGTCTCATTAGTTACCTGCTGATTTTTTGTAAAACTTAATTACTGCCGTTTAGCAAAGTCAGGCTGAAACGTGTTATGCTGCTTGGGCTTGGAATGGCACCACTCGAATGAAATGCGTGAGCAGGTCGTGAGGAACATTGCACGGGATCAAAGACACAACACAACAACAACCAAGCTAATTTGCCACTGATAACCGATACAACTCCAAAATTCATGTGAACAAACAGGGTAAGTATCAAGATCCATGCCACTGATAACTGGTACGACTCCAAAACTCACTGTGAACAATCCGGGCAAGTATCAAGATCCAGGGTCTCGGAACTTCCAGAGTACGCGGGCCTCTCAACGAGAAAATAAGGCAGCATGTCAGATATCAACAGGGTATACAACGCTCAAGGGTGCAAAAATTCCGGTACCCTCAAATAAAATATGTGAAGTACTTCTGGACGAGTAGCAATGAATGGAGAAAGAGTGACAAAACAACCAAATCTAAACTTTATTTGACAGAAATCAAAACTTAACCTAGCTCGATCCTAGTTCAGTTTAATTTCTGTCATAGATTCTAAACTGTTAGTCCCACGAATTGACAGCTGCAATCGGACATGTAGCTCCTTTGCCAAACAAAATCTTGCAGCAGATCAGCCCATAAACAATTAACCAGTGTGTAACAGCATTGGAGCCCCAGGTTTCAAGTCCAACAACCTTGTAGCCTAATCAACATAGACAAAACAAAGAGTTAGAGGGCAGAACAGTACAAGTAAGCTCACGCTTTTGTTCTGCTAGAATACTGTGCTTCTATGAACCAGCAATACAGTTTCAAAGAAGGTTTTGTGGTTTACACTCGCACATGTCAGTGTAAGCAGATTATACAAAATTTCTCAACGGGTTGTCCAAAATAAAGATATTTTCCAACTATATTACAAATTAATGTTTCAGTTGGTGACAGTATTAATCCAACAAAGGCAATGTCAAGCACACAACAAACACAGCTTAGATGAAACAGCGGATATTATGTTTATTAGGTGCAAAAAATACCTAGTGCCACAGCATATATATTCCTTAATAAGTGGCACAGGCATCATGTGATTAGGTGTAACAAAAATGTAGCACCACAGCATAGATATAACTAAAAAAGGCACAGGCCACAGCCTAAACAGAGTGAAGAGAAGCACAGATTTTTCAAGCTAGAATCAAGGTCTATTTCGACTCACTAATGCTACTACTAAACATAGCAGAACCACACCATATTGGAAACAAGGTGAGCTTGCTGACTAGGAGCATCCTACACAAACAAAAGTCACTTAAGCACAACAGTTCTATATACATCAAGAAAGCAGAGCATGATGAAACGATTGGACACTAAGGGCGCGTTTGGTTCTTTTGCCGGAGAAGGTCCAGCCTTGCCGAGTGAGGATAGTAGGGCAGTGAATGCGTTTGGTTGCTTTGCTAGCTGTTTCGGTTTTCGTGCCAGCAATGCCACAGTCGAGAGGCCGATAGGCTCGCCCGAGCGGGCGAGCTCCTCGTTTCTTGCGCCGCGAGCGAGGCCAGGCTAGGCAAACCATCCAAACGTCCCCTAACATATCGAGCAATGCAACATTTCCATTTGCACACAATAACTAACAAGGGGCTTAATAAAAGTTTGTTTCGATGTGGAACATGATCCTTATCGAAGCCAACCAAAATCGTCTAACACAGTGAACGGGCTACAAACAGAGATTAAAATAATTATTCATCACACAGCTCTCTGTCATACACCCGTAACTCCTCTCTGTCTTGCTCTACGGATCAACTCAAGGAGAGATCAAATCACTGGACGCAACTCAATGACAAGGTGTCTAACCAGAGAGGAGAGAGCTCTCATGTCTGGCGGCGAAGTCGCTTCCGGAGCTTGCGGAGCTTGTGCTTGTTCATCTTACGCTTGCGCTTCTTCTTCACGCTGTCCGCCCACACCTCCGCGGCCCCTCCGCCGACCTCCTCCCATGCGGGGGCACGCCCAACCAGATATAGGCACGGGTGTATCTGGAGTCCCGGGTGGAAGGAGAAGAGGGCGTCGCGGAGAATCCCGGGTGGCGTTTGGGCCGGCGTCGAGGCCGGGAGTGGAGGAGCCAGGGATGGGGTGGGGCCCTGCTGCAGGTGCGGCGTGAGGCGGGAGAGGAGCGTGTTAAAGGGCAGCGGCGGCGGGTCGCGGAGGCGGAGGAGCAGCCGACGGAGCGGCGCGGCGGCGGCCATGGGGGACGTGCGAGGAGAGCAGGGTTTCCTTGGGAATGGAGGCTGGCTGGGCTGGGCTGATGCTTGGTTCCATTGTGTTGTTGGTCTGCTTGGTTCCTCGGGTCCGGTCGGGCCGGGGGCTTGTGATGCGTCCTGGGCTCTGGCCCAGCTTGCTACGGTTCGATATTTTAATTTCTCGTTTTGTTTACAACTGTGAAATTTCAGGTGTACTAGTATATTGCTACGGTTCGATATTTCAACGATTTTGACATTGATTGAAGCCACGCATGTGTTAAAAGGACTGTAATAGCTGAAATAACTCTTGAATGAAAAGCGAGGCACACTAAAAAAAAAAGGATTTTTGAAGACATGCCTCTGTTATAATTAAAAGAGACGGGTGTGCTTATACAAAATGTTTTAGCAATAGAGGTAATTTTTAGATGCAGCTTAATCAAAATTCGCCTCTAAAAATAATTTCCCAGCCGTATCTAGAAATCCATTTTTTTAGGTGACTAGAGTTTTTAGCCATATCTAAAAATGCCATTATCTTTAGAGGTAGTTATTAGATATATAGTCACCTCAAAAAAACGATTTGTAAAGGCAGTTGAATCTATAGTCATCTCTATAAATCGATCCGTAGAGAATGCCGGATATAGTCATTTCTACAAATTTATACGTATTGCAGCACAGTAAAATTCATAATTTTCTTAAAAGAAGCCAAATGAAGACAAACTTTATATCAGTCATATATCTCGAGCAGATACCAATTTGTTGATACTATTTTTATTATTAGTTAAATTTAAAAAAATTATTGTGGGGACGGAGGTAGTACTAAATGTCAGTAGGGATGATTCTCCATGTGGGTCCATGTGTCATTGATACGGTGTTAGTATGTTTTGGTGCCACCGCCGGCTGGCAGCTACAAGTGTACGTGTCCTGAACATGATCTCGCCCAGAAAGCAGAAGAGCCAAACTGCACATACACAGTATTTTCCATGAACAGATGTTAGACAAAATTTCGAATTGCATCGACAAATTGAGCTAGGTGCACCATAACAGTAGCCTACAATACATGAACTTTTGAACACAACAAATACATAACAAAATAGTAGTGAAGACCCGCTTCACAATAAGGCGGGACGATAGAGCTCAGCAACACAAGAAAAGAGAATGGAGGGTCTAAACCAGTATCAGACCATGCTATGATGCTCCTATGGAACAAGCCTGCAGTCCACCCCATACAGCCTCCTTAGAAACTTCGCCGCGGTCGCTCCTCTGCAACATTCACGCGCAAGGCGCGCCCATCCAAACTCTGTACAATCCAGAATAAGAAGTTATATTTTGGATGTACGAAAAGCTTATTTTATTGGTCATGGTATAGGAAAAGGAAAAAGACAGAATCACTCCACAGCTTCACTTTGATATTGATTATTTCAGTACGACCAAAGTTACTGTGGTTATGCAAATGGCAGGAATCGAGACTGACCTGTCCATCTAGGGCAGCAATAGCATCGTCCAATTCGTCCTGTGTTGCCATAGTCACGAAACCAAATCCCCGCGAACGCCCAGATTCTCGGTCATAGACAACTCTGGCATCAACTACTTTACCATGCTCGCTGAACAACTGCACCAATCTAGAATCATCCACTTGCCAAGGCAGGTTGCCAACATAAATCCTGAGAGAAGGCCCAGATTGTCTGGGAGGTCTGTCCACACGAGAGCCTCTAGGAGCTGCTTTATTTACAGTCAGAAGCCTTCCATTGACATCCTGTCCACATAAACATGTAATCAGCTTTGCTGCAAGTGAAGGAATCCATATAAGGTAGAATCAAGGAAATCTCACTATATATGTAGAAATGGATGGATTCCTTCACTTTAGCACACATAGCGTATAGATGAAGTAAATTTGTATAAAGTACTGAAGTTCACATATGTTGACTTGGGTAGAGGCAATAAAAGAAGACTTGAAAGGATGGAATATCCCCAAAGACTTAGCCTTAGATAGGAGTGCTTGGAAGACAGCTATTCACGTGCCTGAACCTTGATTGCTTCTGCTGGGTTTCAACTCTAGCCTACCCTAACTTGTTTGGGACTTAAAGGCTTTGTTGTTGTTGTTGTTGTTGTTGTTGTACTGAAGTTCACATACAACAAAGTGTTCAATTGAACAGTACAAACACTAAAATTTATGTCCAAAATCAAACTGCTTATTGGCATGTGCAATGGTCACCCCATAGGGGGCGCCAAGAGCACTTCTCTAGCTCCTCATTCCAAGCCATTGGGAACCTAATTAAAGATTCTTAGGTTTGGCTCGAGTTGAAGCTTCTATGCTATAAACATTGAAAACTATATTTTCCAACACTGGTCACTGGTCGTAAGAGCAGCTGTTAGAAGACTGGAAACAGTTGGAGAAAGTGCTGACTTTTCTACTTATGACTTGTAGGTCCTACAAGAGGAGCTAGCACATTGCATGGATTTTGACTAAGGATGAATTTGTTAGTGTGTCAGTTCTAGCCTCCGAAACCACTCATGCCCTAAGAATGAGAACAGTATACATGAGCTGAAGCATATTTGTATGGGAACTAGGAACAGCATTCCATGCATAACGCAAGTGTGCAAATTAGTAGTTCACCATAGTTAAATGAGTTGCAGATGGCATAAGCAAACAGGCTATCTTAACCATAACTAAACCCAAAATCAGTCAAAAACCAAAAAAAGCTCCATCAAGTCATCAAATACACCCACATAGCGATGGAGCATCTCCACAGCCTTCTCAGCCTCCTCGACAGTGCTCATAGTGACAAACCCAAATCCACGACTTCGGTCTGTTTCTCTGTTGTAAATGACCTGCACAGCGACAAAGTTCATTTAAGAACAAATGATCAAGCTCCTTTTTGCAATCCAGGGACAACAGGATCACATATATCCCCAAAAGAGCAAACAATGGTATCCTTGAACTATCATCTAACTATATCACCAAAGGCAAAATTGGCTACAAGACACTCAACGTGACCCCTCTTTGCTAGCAAGCATGCAAAATGGAGCAGTTTGCTGGTGGACACTGTTGTTGTTGTCAAATTTGCTCCTGGACACTGCGGCCAATAAAATATTCATTTCTTGCTTCTGAGGAGAGAGAACAGAGGGAAAATGTCATTTTTGCCCCTGGCACCTTCTTCTTCCTCTCTCCCTTTCTTTTTTTTCCTCAGCTCGCCTGGCTGCGCCGTGGACACGACGGCCACCGCGGACTTCAAGAGCAGAGCACAGGGCACAGCCGGTGGCCAAATCCGGCCGGCGTGGACTCCGCCAGCGTCGAGGCGGGGCTCCACGAGCCTGTCCGCACGGCGACACACCAGAAGGTGCTCGCGGTGCGTCCAAGGGCGGCCTGTAGGGCGAGGCCGGCGCGCACGTGCAGCAGCAGCGCGTCGCGCCGGCACATGGACGAGGTGGATGCACGCGTCCAGCCGGAGATATGGTGACACGCGGCTGTCCACAAGGAGAATGCGCGCGCTCCGAGCCTCCATGCGTGCCGCAAACACGCGGTCACCCACCCGTGGCTCACCTTGGCGTTGGAGCGCCACGTCTGCCAAGCCCGCTGCACGCGCCGTCTCTGCACGCTTGTCGTCCCTGCACGGAAGCTGTTGCCGGCCACGGGCATGAGGCCACGGCGATCGGAAGCCATCGCCGGCCAGCGTAACGAGCCGCTGGGGCCGCCCGGGTCAGGTAGGCGCCAGCCGACGAGCCATGGCGCGGCGCGGCTTGGCCGGCGTTTTGCCGCGTCGTCACGAAGACGCGCGCGCACACGAAAGCACAAAGCGTGAATCACGGGGCCAAGGCCCGTCTGGCTTCAGCGGCGGCGCGAGCCCGCCACGAGCGACGGCTGCGTCCACCATGGCTGGCTCCGGCGAGGCCCCAGGGCCACACCCACGCGTCCGCCTCGGCCGCAACTTCCATCCGCCCAGCTCGTGCTCCGTCCGTCCGCGCCCAGCCCGTGCACCCTCAGCCCGCGCCTGCCCAGGCCACGAGCCTGGCACCGACGCCGACCGCGCCACCATGGCCGGCTCCGGTGAGGCCGCAAGGCCAGCCACGCCCGCCCAGGCCGCGAGGATGTGAAAGCTGCGCCGCTGCTCGGGGACGCGGGGAGCCGCCTCCTGGCCGCCGTCGCCCCTCTCGCCCTCCCTTTCTCCCTCGCAAGAACAGCGCCGGGCGTCGTCATGCAGGCGATGTCGCATGACTGTACCAGCCATGGGGAAAGCCCCGATTTGAACCGAACGAACGTGATTGGAGGGTCAGAGGGGGTCGTGGAGTGGTGGGGGTGCTCACTGCATGCACAGAAAGACCAGGGAAGCAGCGGAGGTTGCTGGCCACGACGCTCAGAATAGGAAGGGAGGAAGGAAGAAGAAAGGAGAGGGAAGGGAGAGAAGGAGTCGTCAGGGGCAAAAAGGACATTTCGGCTCTGTTCTCTCTCCTCGGAAGCAAGAAATGAATATTTTATTGCCCGCGGTGTCCATTAGCAAATTTGACAACAACGACAGTGTCCATCAGCAAACTGCTTCATTTTGCATGTCCGCTAGCAAAGAGGGTCAAGAGGGTCACTTTGAGTGTCCTGTAGCCAATTTTGCCATCAATAAAATACTGACCACACAGACATCAAAAACTGGCAAACACTAGCTAGGAAGCCACCTCAATAGCATGGAGAGGTAAATAAAGGGGGTCATTCTTTATAAACAACAAATATATATATGTGTGCAGTGTCCTAGGATGAAAATTTGTTTTGAAAGCAATGCAACATTGAGAATCCACCCTTATGTTTAACACAGTGTAACAAGGAGTTAATCAATCACTAAGCTAAAGATGTAATTCTGATAAGAACCTGTAATCGCAACACCTCATCACACAATAGGCATCTCTCATGAAGCAATACCACATTGCAAAATGTGCAGGAATAAGTTCACAAATCAGGCAAGTAGACTATAGCAGCTGCAAGCGTGCACCCTTACAACTTCAACTGCGCATTTACCACTCACCGCACCCAAACAAAAAAAATGCAGAAGAAGCGCAGAAATGACTACAGTGCGATGCCACTACAGTAGCCGTGGTGCAGTAAGTTGAGGAAATTTGTTCCGTGGCAAGGAAGAGTAGGATAAGGAGGAGGCAGTAGCGACAAGCGTTGAAGAGACGTAACCTCTGCGACCTCGACGACGCCGGCCTTCTCGAAGAGCTGCGCGAGGCCCTCGCTGTCGATGTCATAGGGAAGGTTACCGACGTAGACCTTGGCCTCCTCGGGCGGCTCAACATACTCCCCGACCTCCTCCTCTACCTCGTCCTCGACGGCGGTTGAGGCCTCTACGGCATCGTCCTCCGCCCCCTCATCCTCCTCCGGCGCGAACGCCTCCTCCTGCTCCGACTCGGCCGGCTCCGCGTAGTCAACCCCGACGGAGTCGGAGGCGGCGAGCGGGGCGAGCAGCAGGCGGCGCGCGGAGCGGAGGCGGAGCAGGCGTCGGGGCAGCGCCGGCGCGAGGAGGACGAGGAAAGGGGAGGAAGGGGCGGGGCTGGGCTTGGGGAGGGAGGCGGCAGCGAGGGCGCGGAGGGACGCCGCGACGGAGGAGGCCATGGTGGCGCCGGGCGCGGGCGGGGTGGAAGGATGGAACGGGAGGAGAGGAGAAGGGGATAAGAGAAGAGGGGGAGGGAGGAACTGGAGGAGCGAGCCGCGACCGCGAGAGGGTTTTTTTTTTAGGGGGACCGCGAGAGGATTTTGGGTGGACGGACATTGGAGGTGGTCAGTCAGAGTCAGCTGGACGAGGAGTTGCTCGAGTCGAGGGGCCGACAGGATATTTCGGGGGCCTTGATGGGCTGTTCTCTCCTGCGATATGGGCTGGGCCAGGCTTGACTGATATGGAAAAAATTCCAAACGCCTATAAATTATTATTCTTATTTACATTTGTATTGATCGAAATTAGATGAGTCAGATTTAGTGTAGTGGTTGTTTGGATATAGGAATAAGAATTATTTTTCAATAAACAGGTTTTGTATGCAGGTCTAGATAAACAAGTTTTTAGTTGTTATTCAGTTAAAACGCGCATATAGATCACCATACAGATCACTTTGTTTAGATCGTGTATTAAAAAAACGATCTAAAAAAAACTATTATGTTGTTTGGTTAAGAATACATGCAACATAAAACCTCTCACATGCACATACGGCTACAAAACAAAACTTGTTAGTTTGATGAGAACGTGGATAGAGATACCCGTTTTTGTGAAAAGTAGGTAAAGGCCGTTTTCCCCAAAACCTGTAATTTGGAATTGATTTTTTTTGCAAGTTGGTTTAATCTTTTCTCAACCAAACAATATTTTAGGTTGTTGTGGTCTCAAACGTGTTTAACAAAATCTTTGTTTTAATAAAACTAAAGATCAAAATAACTCAGATTAAGGCGACTTATATTAGGGCACGTTTGGATCCGTGGAATTGAATTTATTCTAATAATTACAATTTAGACATAGATTAATTAAACTAATATAGTTATATATGAAATATATTTGTATATTTATTGTTAGGCATACAAATGGCATACTTATATGTTGCATTTCTTCTGTAGGGAAGTGAGTTGAAGAGTGTGCTATAAGTTGGAGAGTAGAATTATAGCATAGTAATCTATAGAATCCATTTCTATCTTCCACCCTATGAATTTAAGATAGGCTTATTTGTGAGCTTGAAAAGGTTATGGAATGTCAAATTCCAAGCCAAATAACCTATTCCATTGAGTAAATTTTAATTCCTCCAAAATGAAGGGATCCAAACGGCTCCTTATAAAACTTAGGAGTAGAACAGTACAGATGCCAACGTAGTTACATCATGATCAACAGAACAATATATGTGTTAATATATACAGCCACGGCGAAATTTAAAGGGTTCATAGCTGCCTATCCCAGTATCCCCAATGGGTTAATTCTGATTGTCAATAATAATTGATCAAACATTAAAAAAAATGATCAATGTGATGTCGATCCTAGCGCAATTCTGAGCCGTGAGCTGGCTGAAATCCAAGCAGGTAGTAGCATGGCTGACTGCACACCGTAGACCTGCTACTCCCCTTCTGTTTGGCGACGCACCTGCGTTGCACGCATCAGAAAGTAAGTTCCATCAGTTAATTACTCGTACCTGATGCACAGCAGCGAGACTGCTCCAATTCAGACCCCTCCTCTTATAATTCAGTAGTAAAGAGTCTAAAGCGAGGTTGTGGGTAAGCATGTCAGCATCAAAATGACACTGGACTCGAAGTTTATTCCTAAGATTAAACTCCTCCTGATCTTCTCGTTCAGTGAAACAAACAGCACTGAAAATGGTAGCAAGACTAGAAGAAACACATGTTGCCTACCGAGACAGGCAATTCTGCTTTTTTTCAGTACATTCTACCCTCTCTGTTTCTAAGAGGGGCATTTCTGCTTTTCTCATGGCAACATATCACCTAAAATGGTAGTTAAGTGACACTGGGAGAAGCATAGATCAATTATACATCTTGTAATGTGCACAAGTCATTCCAAGTTTTATTTCCAGCCTCAAGTGTGATCAATGGTAACCTACCTGGGAATTTTCTGTCAGCATATAGCTCACAGGCTCAGCAAGGTGGAGGCAAAGCTGTTGTTGTAGGCGCCCTTGTCATCAGTTCACTGAAGAAAACGCCACTGAAATAATCAAATTCCATAACAACAAGCAACTCTAATAACAGAAGAACATCAAAACGCATCTATACCTAATGTTCTGGCTGATTATCGCATCATGCTGGGCTGGTATCTTCATCAGCGCTTCCAACGTGAATTCATCCTCCTTGTCACCTTCTGCAATTTCCCTGGACATAATTTCGGTGAAATCCACAAACTGCAAGGAACACGCACAGGCACAAAAGGAGGATATATCAAATTAAGCACATGACTGAAACATCCTCTTCTTCAAACTGACATATCGTGATTGGCACACACCTGAAAGTTATCAAACCGCCGCCGGTTATCGTTGCAGTGAATAAGATCATCCCATGGTCCATCGCCTACTCCAACAAGCACAATCGAAAGAGGGAAATCACTGCAGAAAACAATAAATGCATCAGGTTTCTTTTCAAGAAAACTAAGAACAAGTTGCTTTGTCATCAATCAGGCAAGTGCGTTATCAACAGCATTAGTTTGGCTTCATATCCTGTTCCTAGTATAACCTGGCATGTATGAGAGCCTGGACAGTCCTTTCTTCTAGGTAGTTTTCTGATCTTGCTTCTTCTGAGTTGCTTGCATAAGGAGCACTAGAAGACGTTGGGACCTGGAAAAATACAAGCAAAAAAGGCCGTAGTAAAAGCAGATGATCAATCATATATGTGTATGGATGAAAACGGTACGGATATTTATTCGACCGTCCGTTTGACCGAACAAATATGAACACTTATCTGGATAGTTACTCGGATATCCGTAATTTTTTTCGGATACGGATACTAAAATGGATATCTTAGGCGGATATCAAATACGGATGTAATATCATCGATATCCGGCGGATATCGGATAATCCGGATAAGTATCGGATATATCCGGATATTTAAAAACGGATATTATCCGGATATTATTCAAACGACCTTGGATGGAGAAATGATCAAAATAAAAATTGTAGATCTCAAAAAGTTATGAAACTTTGTTGTTTACAACTTTTTCGTTTGAAATCATTTAGTGCTTCAAAATTTAAACCGTCCAAACTTTCTCAAATGAAAAATTAGTTTATAGGCGTCAAAATTTAAAAATCACAAATTTAAACCATCCAAACTATCTCAAATGGAAAGTTGACCAAAACAACAATTGTAGATCTTGATGAGTTGAACAAACTTGGTATTCAAAACTTTTCAATTTGAAGTCATTTAGAGTTCATAATACTAGAGTCAAAGTGTTGTTTTTTCATTTGACCAAATTTGACTTGGTCAAACTTGCTCAAATGAGACACTAAATGACCTCAGATGAAAAAACTCTAAATACCAAGTTTGATCATCTCAGCAAGATCTACAATTGTTACATAGCTCATTTTTCCATTTGAGAAAGTTTTATCAAACACTAGTCATAAATTCTTGAATCTCATATAGACTTTCTGAAACTATGTCACATACTTGTGAAATTTGAACTATATTTTGTTCAGACTTTCTCAAATGAAAAAATAGCCTATATAAGGATTGTAGATCTTGATGAGATGAACAAATTTGGTATTCAAAACTTTTCAATTTGAGACAATCTAGGGTTCCGAAAACTAGTTTGTAAACATCGAAATTTAAAAATCACAAATTTGAACCGTCCAAACTATCTCAAATGAAAAGTTGACCAAAACAACAATTGTAGATCTTGATGAGTTGAACAAACTTGGTATTCAAAACTTTTCAATTTGAAGTCATTTAGAGTTCATAATACTAGAGTCAAAGTGTTGTTTTTTCATTTGACCAAATTTGACTTGGTCAAACTTGCTCAAATGAGACACTAAATGACCTCAGATGAAAAAACTCTGAATACCAAGTTTGATCATCTCAGCAAGATATACAATTGTTACATAGCTCATTTTCCCATTTGAGAAAGTTTTATCAAACACTAGTCACAAATTCTTGAATCTCATATAGACTTTACAAATCTAACTATTCACACACTTATGAATTTGAATCATTTTGTTCAAACTTTCTCAAATGAAAAATAGCCTATATAAGGATTGTAGATCTTGATGAGCTGAACAAACTTGGTATTCAAAACTTTTCAATTTGAGACAATCTAGGGTTCAAAAACTAGTTTGTATATAAATTTAAAAATCACAAATTTGAACCGTCCAAACTATCTTAAATGAAAAGTTGATCAAAACAAGAATTGTAGATCTTGATGAGTTGAACAAACTTGGTATTCAAAACTTTTCAATTTGAAGTCATTTAGAGTTCATAATACTAGAGTCAAAGTGTTGTTTTTTTATTTGACCAAATTTGACTTGGTCAAACTTGCTCAAATGAGACACTAAATGACCTCAGATGAAAAAACTCTGAATACCAAGTTTGATCATCTCAGCAAGATCTACAATTGTTACATAGCTCATTTACCATTTGAGAAAGTTTTATCAAACACTAGTCACAAATTCTTGAATCTCATACAGACTTTCTAAAACTATGCCACACACTTGTGAAATTTAAACTACATTTTGTTCAAACTTTCTCAAATGAAAAAAATGGCCTATATAAGGATTGTAGATCTTGAATCCATGACCATGACTCCATGAGACCCATGAAGCCATGAGCTTGGCTATTTCTACTCATGCCGCGAAGATTGGTGCTTGTATGATGTTTGATATATGATGTATCTGTATCTTTATCTTATTTGTTACTTTACTCTTTAGTCTTTCGGCTTAATTTAGATGGATCATGGACTCATAGAGTGGTGTAATGGTTTGCACACGTATGATATATATATATATATATATATATATATATATATATATATATATATATATATATATATATGTGTGCTGCTTTTACTCAATATCCGAATAGATATTTGTATCCGACCTTCTCCGAATCCGATTCATACCGTATTCGATACTCATTATTCGTATCCGTAACCGAGTCAATCCGTATTCGTATATGTATCCGAACGCTATCCGTATCCGAATCCGAATCCGAACAGAAATATGAAAACAAATATAATATGAGTGATATCCGTTCGTATCCGATCCGTTTTCATCCCTATATATGTGTAACACTAAATGAATCTTGAAGTGAGAAACCCTGTACTTCTGTACATTGTTTAGTTTGTTGCTGCAGCATGAATATTGATGTTTCTTATCTAAAGAAAATACAAAGAGGAAAAAAAACAGAGTAGTCATATATTGATGAGAGTAGTCATATATTGATTACATCATACCAATCTACTTTTGCGGTACAAGTTATTCAATTCAACAGAAAATGGAGTGCATACCTGCCCGTCAGCTATTATCAGTAGGATGTGATACTGATAGCCGTGGTCCTGGACGACCTTGGTTGCAGTTTTTATGATTGGAGCTAAAGATGTCGGGCCTAGATAAGGAAGGATTCCACAGTCATTACAACCACCAAGTGCAAGACGACTAACTTGAGAAGTGGGAAACAACAAGAAGATGGTACCGGAGAGCCGAACGTGAGGGGCGATCTCTCTGTACCGCTGCAGCGCTTCATTGACACCATTGCATGCCCGTCCATCTCGGTAGAAGCTGAAGACGTGTTGATCATGCGTGGATGCTGAAAAGATGAGGAAGCAAACGAGCTCGTCACGTCCCTAAGCTAGTGAGGAACCATCATTATTCAGTGAAGACCAAAGAACTCAGTTGCTCATGGGAATTATGGAACAAAGCTAAGAAGAGTGGCCTAGCTCTTACTGTCACCAAAGCCGAAGCACGGGATCTGGTTGTCCTCGTCGAACCCCGATAAGGTTTTGCCGATGATGCTGATGGCTTGCTCGTAAGGGTTAGGAGGCCCTCCGAGGCGATGCAGGCTTCTCCCGTTGAAACAGAGTTTGCCTTTAATTCCGGTTCATCAATACTAGAGTCAGTCATGCACTCGACAAAGAGCTTGATAAGCAATAGTGGTCCATGCAAATTGCAAAACACTGATCAAACGGTAGTGGTTTAACATTTGTGAATTATGAATGATAAAAACGCTGCGTACCTGTCCATTCGTTGCTCTTGGTGAAATCCACGCCGATAATGAGGTTGGAGGACTCGAGACCAGCCAACTGAAGTGCCGCCTTCACCTGGATGTATGTTTTCCCCAATACAAGCAAGCGATGCTAAACAACAGTGGTTCAATTCAATCTGAATGACCGAGGGTAATGATCGAAGTAGAGTTTCACCGCACCTGATCCAGGGTGTCGTAGTTTCTGTCTATCTTCGCGTATGGCCGTTGAGCAGGTGGTCCAAGGCCTGCAGCTGCAGGGACGACCCTCTTGAGACGAGTTGTCCAGGCGAAGACGGTCCAGAACAGTAGCAAGAATGTGGAGAAGAACATGACCGATCTACTAGACCTACAGCTAGAACGTTGAATCGATGGAGCTCGGCGTGAGGAGCAGTCACGGTCACCGAGCCCTTTTATATGGGGACGACGAGGGAAGCGAAGCACAGCGATTGGCCGAGACGAAACTTCAAGGCAAAGGACCCTTGGAACGCGGTGGATACGCTGAAACGAGTGAGGCCTCCGGGTCATCGCCCATCGGGAGGTCCGTGTGGTCTGGTGCGGGGCGGTGCGTACTGCGGGTGCCTGCGACGGTGTGATTGCCTGATTGGGTCGGATGCCATGCCACCCCACAAGAGGGAATTAGAAATGAAAGGTTGTAACAAGAAAGACAATTAGCATCCGATCCGTTTATACCTGACAAGAAGCTTCTTGCTGGGTTTGGTGATTTTGGGTCCTGGATTAGCTAGCCAGCGTCAAAATCAAATCTTGTCCTCAAATGAAACCTCAAGAACAGAAACTCTGGTATCCTTGAATTGGGATCTGAATTATATGGTTTAAGATGCAACTCAAAAGCATGACCAAATTTTGTTTGCAGAGAAACATCAACAAGATTTTGTTTGAAAGAAACATCAATACCTGGATTTACAGATGCAATCCGCGTGCCACGAGACGAACTTGACTTGACTTACCTGCTCTGCTCACTCAGTGGAAGACTCAAAATAACTCCATGTGGGCTTAATCATTCTTCTGTGGGCTTAATCATTCTTCTGTGACATCCAATAGCAAGCAGGACAGCAGCACAGAAATATGTCCACTCTTTATTTGTGCAGACCAGATTCTCTTCTGTCTATTATTCCCACAAATAGCTTCTGAAATATCCAACCACATCTTTATCTGTGCACTCAAGTCAACTATCCACCTACAGAAACATAGATAGACTTCCTCTTTACAATGTGTCATCTACCTAGACTAGCATATGGTTATCACACAAAGTGAGATCTGTTTCATCTTAAAATGGAAAAATCTTGTCAAAGAATGGACTTCTCAGCATCTTCACTACTATATCCCAAATGGTAACTTTTACAATTACGCGGTGCCTTCCAGCACACATCAGTTTTCCGCAAAACATGCATCAACAAATTGGGAAAACATCTACACAAGAACACAAACCAAAAACAAAATTCTACTGTTCCCCTTATCTAGTGAAAGAGCAGGATCTGTATATATCTGCAATCTGTATAAATATGGAGCACCTATATTATTAGGGGTTCAGAGAGCTCCATCTCATTGGACGTCTGATCTGTCTCCACTGGAGGTAACCGCACGTAGTTCAGTCCCAACCACTGCCAAGGCCAGCACATATACCTATGGCCATTGCGATTTACCAAGTCGGTTCTATTATCTGATTCTTCGAGCTGCCTGTTAAGCTCCTCCAGCCTCTCTCGTAGCCTGGACGATCGCATATCTGCTAGCTTTAGAGACTTCTCTGCAGCATCACGTGCCGTCATTGCAGCAGCAGCTGTCTCTTCCTTGAACTTCAGCTTGTTTTCTAGCTCCACCATAGCTTGTTTTGCTTCGTCTAATTCCTTGCGAAGGGATGATATCTGTGCAACAAACAAAGCTCCATTAGATTCGGCTCGCCTAATCAGACATGAAAGCGATGCTTCACCATCATAGACAAACCATCCATTCCCTTGCACAAGTTGATCTATATATGTTTGCTTGAACACAAGTTCCAAAAGCCATGGCACTATATCAAGGATACAATGGCTCTATACAAAGGCTTTGCAGATTATTGTAAGCTTCACACAATTAACAGTGTTTTGCGTCTTCCAGATTGACTCATCGCACTGCGCTAGTAATGGGGCTCAGCATCTGCTGCCACCACTGACTGTACAAAGCCTTCCTTACACTACTACATATCAATAGGCCAAATTTTTCTATATTGATGGGATAACAGCATAAGGCATCTAACTTGTTTCAAGCTGCTATTTTCTACATTAAGCTGATAGTGCCATATCTAAGAATGCACTTAGAAATATAGAACAGCAATATCATTAAGTACAGAACTCCAGGTTGTAACAAAAATAGCAGAAACAATCAGCAACAAAAACAACAAAGATGACATGAAATGTAAATCATATGGTCTAGCATATCTAGATTTTATTTTTTTCCCCTTCTCGATGATAATCTATGCTAAGTGCTTTATTCTAATGCTTGTCTCACACACTCACTTATTACTATATTAGTATCCAGAAATGTATGTTCAGGGTAAATTGAAACATGAAGCAGAGGAAAATCTGCTGAACATCCTTTTTACAGGAATAAATCTGTTAAATATTATTCTCATGGATTGTTATGCTATTCTAGGTGTTGCAAGCAAGCATGTAATCTTTGTGCTTTCTCATATTTGTGTAGGAGCTCACTGTTAATATATCAAACATATATAGGTTGCAAAACTAATCATGATAGTTTGATTGCATCTGGGTAACTGTGCTAGAAGTTACTCCAAAAGATATGGTTCTAGTCAGATAACCATGATGCAAAGGTGTCGAACATGATAGAATCACCAGATTTTAAGAGTAATCCCAACCACCCAAGAAAACATAAAAATGGCACAGAAAGCATAGAGAATAAGAACTATATATATAGAATATGTTTGTATTCACCTGAATTTGGAACTCTTTCTCAATTGATCCACCAGCTTCAGCTTCCGCCTCTGCTGCCATCTTCCAACGTTTAATCTCCTCTTCAGCAGCTGTCACGTCCATCATCAGACCCTCAACCTGAAACAAGTGCATCAAAATGAAATTAGCACTTGATCATTGATCATAATCTTAAAGAGATTTAAGTGGTGTACTTGAGACATCAAACTAGACATGGGTGAGAAAATTACGCTTTCATTTGCCACCCTTTCCTTCTCTTCAAGATGTTTTATTTGCTTTCTTAGCTGGCCAATCTCCTTTTCTTGCCCTTCTAGCCGTGTTCTAAGTAAACCAGACTCCGCCCTTAAAGCCAGCAAATTACATAGATGGTCAGAAGCAGGAAGCAATTTACAATGGTTCAAATTATCCACAACATGAAATAGCAACACAGCAATATCCAATTGTTTTTCTTTTGTAGCAAAGAAGCTAAATAAGCATGTCCTAGAAAACCATATGTTCAGTTTACACAACCTAGACAACCGCTCTTCCAAGTTCATTAAATGGTCCTATGTTCAACAGGCAGAGCAAACAAGAACTTGAAACAAGGGATTTGTCTAACCTCTAGAACTAGGTCTGATCTGAAGAAACTTAGTTACGCAAGATATGAACTTCATAAATTATAGAACCAAAACTCATCTGTCACAGTAACTACCTTAGTGCTTCGACAAGATGTTGGAGCTCAATGATCTTGACCTGGGACTCCTTCATGGTATTCTCGAGAGCCCCTGCCTGCAATGTTGATTGCATAACAAACAACTTAGGCACTATACAGGTTCAGGGACTGGCAATTCCATGTATGGTAACATCAATTGAACTTACCAGGGTATAGACCTCGTCCTTCTCCACACTCCCTGGCCTGTGCTCCTTTCGATCGTCAAGTCCAACCTCAATGCCAGCTTCCCTCAGTCCATCCTCTGCAACCTTTAACACCTCACTGGTGGTTGCCTTCAGTGCGCTCCGGAGCAGCACACCAATGTGCTCCTTCTCTTTAATCAGGTCATCCACCCTGTCCTCCAAACGCCTCATCTTGCTCTCCTTGTCATCTATACAAGCCCCGACCTTCTCCAGGGCCATTGCCGCAAGCTCATAGGCCAATTTCGTGCCTTCCAGAGACACCTTGAGGCTCTCCTCGACGTCAGTCTCCTTCCAGACAAAAACCGAGTCCGACAGGGCACTCGCAGCTTCGGCATCGACCAGCTTGACCACCTCCCGCATCTCGTGGTACAGCTTGGAGGTGCACCCGATCGTCTCCGCGAGCACGGGCCTCTGAGCGTCGAGCTTCCCCTCGAGAGCGGTGATTTTGTCACGGAGCTCGGAGATCTCGGCTTCCCGTTGGGAGAGGGACTTGGAGAGGGATTCGCCCTCGGCAGACCTGGACGCGAGCGACGCCTCGAGCTCAGAGACCTCGATGGCGATCTGGTAGTTGCGGTGTTCCATCTGCTCCCGCGCGCGATCGCGGTCGCGGTTAGCGGCGTCGATCTGGGCGAGGAGGTCGTCGACGATGTCGTTGGCGCGCTTGAGGACGCCGTACGCGAGGGCCGGGAGGCCGGAGGAGTACTTCTGGGAGGTCGGGAGCGGCGCGGGGGCCGAAGAAGGGGAGGCCTTGGCGGAGATCCTCTCAAAGCCGGAGGAGAGCATGGAGGAGGCGGTGGTGGCCTCGGCCTGGAGCGCGGCGAGGGAGCGGGCGGAGGCGGCGGCCTCGGCCTGGATCGCGGCGACGGACCGCGCGGAGGCCGCGGCCTCGGCGGTGAGGTCGTCGCGCTTGCGGAGCACGTCCTGCGCGAAGGCCTTGAAGCGGGCGACGCGGGACTCAGCCTCCGCGAGGGAGGCCTCAGCCGCGCGGCGGAGGCGGCGCTCCTCCTCGAGCTCCGCGGCCAGGTCCAGCAGCCGCTGCTGCTGCTGCTGCGCCTGGGCATCGGACTGTTGTGGCTGGGGTTGTTGGGCTTGCGGTAGGGTTTTGTGGGAGGAGGCGGAAGATGTAGAGGGGGGTGGGAGGGGGTCTTCGTCGACGTCGGAGAGGACGGCGTCGGCGTCGGCGGCGTCGGCCATGGCGTCGGAATTGGCCGGCTTTGGGGCTTGGCGGTGGTGATGGGGTGGGTGTCCTCTGTCGTGGCGTGGACGGGAGGGTGCCCTCCTTGCGGCGTCGCAGGGCCGGTGTATATTACGGGGTTATTTGCGTTGTCATTATAATTTCTTAAATTTTGAAGAACGTTAAAAACTTATCATTACTATTCTGCTTCTTCCTCACCCTCACCTTTTTCTACGTCTGTAGCGTAGCTAGGTCCACCTACAGGTGCCGTATTTTCGGATGGGCCCGTATTACCTCTGTACGAGAGGATAAGGCTGAGCAGCACGTTCCGTTCTTCTCTACCGCCCCCATTCACTCTTCCTCATTCTCCCCCTTTCTCTGCCGCACGCCCACGCCACCGTCCATTCTTCTCCCTTCATCCCTCTGACCAAACCCTAACCCCATCTCTTTTCGCGGCGAACCAGAGCGTGAGCGGTGGTGGCGAATCGAGGCGTGGTTGGCGGCGGCAATTGGAGGTGGTGGCGATGGAGACAAACCCTAACCTCGCGTCCACTGGAGGTGATGAAGGCACCCTGATGGCGAGGAGCTCAGGCGCAGCGCCTCCGTGCGCGTCCACTGCTTCGGCGGCGATGGAGGACAGCAGCAGCAGGTATCCTTTCTGCATCCTTTGTCTCCATGTGGTCAACACAGTTGGCGATTAGTTGCTATTCTGATGATTTGTGCATGTATATACTTTGATTTGGGGATGAATTTACTGCTTCTTAGGGCTAGGATGTTTGCGCTAGAGGTTAAAGTCGAATCTTTTGCTTCCAAAGACTCGACTGGTAGGAAATCATATACAAAAGGTCGAGTGTTTAAGTGGGATGTGGAGTATGGGTCACTGACACTGACTTGCTATTGAAACATGTGGCAACTGAAATGAATCTGTGCACTAACCAGACATCCATTGTTTGGTTCTTTGACAAAAGATTGAATGAGGATGTCGGACTAGTTGATGAGATATAGATGGTTGATTTGTTTAAAATGCATAAGGAGGAGATGACCTGCTAGGTTATAGTAGGTGTATTTGATAGTTCAATTTGTGTGGAACATGAGTTTGATGCACTAGAGCCTCTCTGTGTGGTTCCTCCTGATGATGCAGCAGAATTAGACACTCATGATGCTAACATGCCTAAACAACCTAGTAGTGGTGGTACTGAGCCAACAACCTTGCCATGTGCTGCTCCTGAGAATCCAGAGGTGGCTGATGAGTTAGAGCCAAATAGAGAGTGAAAGGACCTAGGATGCCGCCTAGAGGGGGAGTGAATAGGCGTTTTTGAAAATTAAAACATTTAAATACAGAAATAATTAGAAGGAGAGTTTCCAAAAATGAAAACTCCAAATTAAGAGTAATACCACCCCTCACAAGTTAGCCACAGAGTAAACAAGGTATAAATAATATATATAGAAACTACAACCCTGCAACACAAAGTTAGAACAGAGAATAAATATTTTCAGCACAGGTAGGAAATACCGGACGTGTCCGGTACACACGATTTCTACAGAGCAGTCCCAAACTTGCTCCTTTTGATTTCTATCTTTAAACCAAACTGCAGGTAACTACTAGAGATGACAATATAAACAGAGAACCTGCACAAGAGCTGGAACAACACAAATATCGAATGAAATACGAATTGAGATACGATATTTGTTTTACCGAAATTCGGACTCGTTTGAGTCCTACTCTCCATTGAGGGGGCTGCGGGCGACCTAGCGAAGGTCAGCCCTAGAGGGTACCACGAAGGTCACTCTAGCCGGAGTCTTTTCCAACTCCTTTTTCTCCTTCCACTAGTTGATTCCGAGGCGGTGGAATCGACCGTTACAAACTTTCTGAGGCACACCACAATCTCTCGGGTGCTCTTCGGCGACGCCTAGCCATCTAGGACTGAAGAGTCCAAGAGTAACAAATGCAAATCATGAGATTGACAATATGCACAAGTGCTCAAGTGGTTGGATTGCTCTCTTTTTAAATTTCTCTCAACCCACTAATTGATTTGGCAATTTGGATCACATACTCACTAAGAGAGGGTTTGGGAGAGATGGCAAGGCTCAAAAACGTGTATGTGTATCAGCAGAATCAACAGCCTCCAAAGGTGGAGGCTTGGGGGTATTTATAGCCCCCTTAAAAAAACTAGCCGTTTTATAGCCGTTGCCATAACGGACACGTCCGGTATGCACTGCGCCAACGGTAACAGAGTTACAGTGGTGTTGTGAGGCGTCAGAACTCCTGATGAATGCCGGAACTTCCGATCGTCAGAACTCCTGACCCTTAGCTCATTTGAAAACCATGGTAACTGAGTTAAAGTATGTGAGGTGTCGGAACTTCCGACTCATGCCAGAACTTCCGACCGTCGGAACTTTCGACTCACGTCGGAACTCCTGACCCTCAAGGCATTTGAAAACTAGTCGTTGGCATCTGGTCGTCCATACTGGACACGTCCGGTATGACCACCACAGTGAACTCTCCAAGTCAGTTAAGCGTGAGACATCGGAACTCCCGACCATTGTCGGAACTCCCGACCATCGGAACTCCCGACGAACCAACCCGAGAACAACAACTTTACAATTGATGGGCAAATACCGGACACGTCCGGTATCAATACCTACCAGACCAGCAAAAAATCAGTTAGCTCTTTTGTCTCTCAAACACTCAAAACTCACATGGGTTGGCATGAGCACTTATGAATGATTATCTATCAACATGATGCATCCCTCTTAATAGTACGACATACCTATTAAACTCAAGATCAAAGGAAAAACGAATTTATACCGCTTGAGTTGACCACTTTTGAGTTGATGCCGTCTCTTTCAATCTTCATCAAGTAAGGGTGCCAACATGTTGATATTGATCTTTTCACTTGAGCATAGCCATCTTGAGCACGTGACTTGATTCCATTGATCAAATATGAATAACTCCAAATGCATCAAGTCACTTCAAACGCTTTGTCCAATATAGATTTGATCTTCCACATCAATATGACCATCGTAGCTTGATTAGTACCTCAACTAAATGCAAGTACTTCCTTCTTCACCCTAACTAGGTTCTTCGGCCACCAAGCCGTCGCTTGCCCTTCACCCTTGCTTAGTACCTCGAAGCCTTTCCTTGCTATCTACACCATCTCAAGCCATCAAGTCACATCTTGTGTTGAATCACCCTTTCATTTCTATTGTTATCTTTTTTCATTTCAATTTAGCAAGCATCAAATATGAGATCATTCCATATGCAATCCCTCATGTCGCATTCATTAATTCTTACGAACTTGCTTTCACATAGTACATGGAAATCCCACAATAAATAAGCCTTTACATAAATTCCATTTGCATTGTTGTCTTGTGCTTGAACTAGATTGTTTATACAACAACACATCATTTTGGCTTTCATTAAGTACATGTGAGATAACTTATTACCTGTCCACACTTAGCAAATGGGTTAGACCTTTAATCACGTTGTCATTCAATAATCCAAAACCCACTAAAGGGCTAGATGCACTTTCAATCTCCCCTTTTTGTGATCGATGACAACTTGATTAAAGCTTACAAAAGAATATAAACATTTAAGCTTTTGGGTTCAATGATTTATGAGAGGCTCCCCCTTAATATGTGCTTATGATTAGAAATCACAAAATGACCTCAAGGCCTCATTCGGCTTACTGAAACTTGGCTGAATTGACTAAAAAACATTGTTTTGGCTGAATTGTTGTGAGAGAAAAACACTGTTCTGGCTGAAAAAAACAAACTAAATAGTGCGGATTATAAGGTAAGCCGAACGGGGTCTAAATGTCAATTGCGCATACTAAAATATATAGGAGACTCCCCCTAAATCATTGCATCCGTGGGGTGCATGTGTGTGTGACAAAGTAAAACCATGATGCATATGATAAGATACATATCACAAGAATAAATATAAAGGCATTACATCAAATATTTTCACTCTAGCATGCATAGTCCTTATGAAAATAAATACAACACATATATGTCACACATAGCACTCATTACACATTTTCTCAAGTCCACAAGCCACTAATATAATATAAATAAAGATCAAGTCTCAAGAGATACATAAATAAAGCATAAGTAAGTCTCATCTCAAACTCAAGATACATCAATGAAGCTCATAAACTAAAAAGAAGCTCAAGAAACTACAGCTTGCAGTACATATCTTCAGGTACAAAGATAAGCAAATGAAACAAATATCCTAAAGCTTTAATCAGTCTCTCCAACAATGACATACTAAGGACAAAGGGGCTGCAAGCTGTCTCTGAAAGCTAAGATCAATCATCATTGTCTTCATCTCTACCAACATCCTCATCATCTGAGCGTGGAGCACCGGTTGGACGAGAACCACCCGCACCAGACGGGTCATAGCCACCAGACCCGTAGTAGCTAAAACTACCTATGAGGTCACTCTACCAGTCTGAAGCATACTCATCTATTGCACTGAGACATGGCTGAGAGTGAGTAGGCACACGAGCCTATAGTGGTAAAGTGTCAGGGTGCTCTGGTGCCTGCTGCTGCTGTTGCTGAAGGAACTCCGCAAACTTTGTGTCATACCTGCCCTGCTATTGCTTCTCAGTTCTCAGGCTCACTAGCTGCCTCATCTGATAGTGGAGATCTAGGAGGATCAAGCTCAAGTCTAGCATCAATCTGCTTTAGAGTCCGAGTATCCTTCCTACTAGCCTCCCTCTCCTTCTGCTGATAGGTCCGTATGTCCTTGCACATCCCAAAGATAGCACTAAACACCTTGCGAATAGGAGGAGGAGGACTGCATTGATGTGAAGAAGAACGTGAAGGAGCATAGGTAGAGGGGAAGCTTGTCCTGCTGCTGCAGCACCTACAGGTGCATCTGCCTCTGGTGTTGCTGCTCCTCCTAGTCCTACTAGAGGTACCCCAATCTCTATCAAGTCATCTACTATCGTTAGGACTTTATGCTTCTTATCATACTCAAATGTGTGTCCTGTGACCTTCTCAATCATAAACATGA